ACGCCAAGTTACTAAAGCCAAAATCCATAAAATATGATATGGTAAACCCAACTATAAATCGTTCCCATTGGTTCAAAGATCTATCAACCTTTTTGCAAAACATATCGCATGTGAATTTATTTGCTAGTAGTTTTCTGGCAAAGTATTAAGTCGAAGGTCAGCCGTCAGATAAACGAAAGTCCCCCAGAAAGAGAGGGAACGATGGAAGCGAAGATACTTTCGATTCTTTTCTTAATTCTAAAGTTGAATGCATCCCGATTGTTTTTGTTGATTCAACAATTACCAGCTGAAGAGGTGTGCCCGGTAATGACACTAACCACTAACAATTTGCATCAAATTTGCAACATAGACCCTCACCATTTTGTACACAAATTGTTAAACTAGCTCGACCATGTAATAACAATCCATAGCACACAATGAAGTGACCATAACTGTTCAAAGCGATAGAGAAGTAATAATATATTCATATATATATGTATATATATATGTATATATATAAAAACATGCATATATAAAAAGATTAGAACTATACTCAAATGTATCCTTCCTTTCGCCATAATGATCCGCAGAGACCCACAGAGCGAACCCCTTTAACACAAGTGACTAATAACTTCTTTCTTACAACCCTTTAACACAGATGTTTGCATAAAATTCCATTCAATCCATAAGAATATATGCCCCCGTTCCCTACAAGATAAAGGAAGAAACCCTAAATTAGTTTCAAACCTCACTCAAAAAACTACCCAGACCCAAGAAAAGTTAGGTCTGGGTAATGCTGCTTAGTCTCCATTGGCTAAGCTGCATATGACTTCTTTCTCACAACCCTTTAACACAAATGTTTGCATAAAATTCCATTCGATCCATAAGAATATATGCCCCCGTTCCCTACAAGATAAAGGAAGAAACCCTAAAATAGCTGCAAACCTCACTTTAAAAAAATACCCAGACCGGACCTAAGCAAAATTAAGTCTGGGTAATATTGCTTACACTTTATTAGCTAAGCTGCACATGACTTCTTTCTCACAACCCTTTAACACAAATGTTTGCATAAAATTCCATTCAATCCATAAGAATATATACCCCCGTTCCCTACAAGATAAAGGAAGAAACCCTAAATTAGCTTCAAACCTCACTTAAAAAATTACCCAGACCTAAGAAAAATTAGGTCTGGGTAATACTGCTTACACTCTATTGGCTAAGTTGCACATGACTTCTTTCTCACAACCCTTTAACACAAATGCTTGCATAAAATTCCATTCAATCCATAAGAATATATACCCCCGTTCCCTACAAGATAAAGGAAGAAACCCTAAATTAGCTTCAAAGCTCACTCAAAAAACTACCCAGACCTAAGAAAAATTAGGTCTGGATAATACTGCTTACACTCTATTGGCTAAGTTGCACATGACTTCTTTCTCACAACCCTTTAACACAAATGTTTGCATAAAATTCCATTCAATCCATAAGAATATATGCCCCCGTTCCCTACAAGATAAAGGAAGAAACCCTAAATTAGTTTCAGACCTCACTTAAAAAAAATACCCAGACCGGACCTAAGAAAAATTAGGTCTGGGTAATACTGCTTACACTTTATTAGCTAAGCTGCATATGACTTCTTTCTCACAACCCTTTAGCACAAATGTTTGCATAAAATTCCATTCAATCCATAAGAATATATGCCCCCGTTCCCTACAAGAGAAAGGAAGAAACCATAAATTAGCTTCACACCTCACTTAAAAAATTACTCAGACCTAAGAAAAATTAGGTCTGGGTAATACTGCTTAGTCTCCATTGGCTAAGCTGCACTAGCTATTCACCCACTGAGACATTCTGCCAGAATGGCTTGGTGCAGCCACTCAGCCACTCAGCCGCTCTGCCAGAGTGGCTGGAGCAGCCACTCAGTCACTCAGAGTGGCTGAGTGGCTGAGTGGCTGGTCCAGCCGCTCTGCCAGAGTGGCTGAGTGGCTGCTCCAGCCACTCTGCCACAGCCACTCAGCCACTCAGCCACTCAGACGCTCTGGTAAGAGTGGCTGGACCAGCCAATCTGCCAGAGTGGCTGAGTGGCTGAGTGGCTGGTCCAGCCACTCTGGCAGAGTGGCTGAGTGGCTGCTCCGATTTCGCGAGCCGTGTTGCACATCCACTCTCATATTAGCTTTCATCCCCTTCACTTTGCAATTTCATTTTAGCAGTGACCATCCGGCCTGGTGTGGACGGTGCACTTTTGTGAAGCTGCTGTGACTTGACATGTGGACCTTTGGAGATGAGACCGTGCCGTAAGACTACAGGATGAACATGGATGAACATGGATGAACTATGTAAGATCTACTATGTACACTCAATGTACACACTGTAGCATCCATTTAATATTCTATGCGCAGTACACTGTAGTACACGCTACAAGAAATATTTCAAAGATAACGGGGCACATGCTCAGGAGATACCTTTCCTGATTTTCCAGCGCATCAAGAAACGTAACCCTGGAAGATTTGGAAGCGAAGGTACCCGTGGGAAATTGTGTTGAGGCCATTGCCAGAGACGTCTGCACCGAGTCTGCTTGGAGCTCAGAAGCCAGGAGTCAAGGCCAAAACGGACTGCATGCCGTGCCAAGTGCCTAGTACATCGCAGATGGAAGTTAGATGGCGGCAATTCAGAAATCACATCTCCTTTGGAAAGGTTTTATGGTTCAGCATTTCCTACAAGGGTTCAAGACTTTCAGAAACTTCAGCTCCAGGCTTATTCCCACATTGGATTTTGCTGCATCGATTGCCCCTCATGGAACGTGCTTTCATTTTGTTCCGGGACCTGTCCATGGGGAGAAGAGGCGACATGCACATTCCGTTTGCGCTGCTTCCAAGAAATAGCAACGACACCCGCCACGATCAAGACACATACGTGCACAAACAGAACAAAACATACGCAACCAAACAGGAAAGAACTACCGCAGCAACAATGAACACAGCACCGAGCATCAACCCCAGTCAAGGCCGCAGCTGCACAAGCGGCAGCAATCATACCTGCTAAAGCGACAACAGCAGAGATTGACAACCTCAGCAATGGCAACAACAGTATCAACGGCCTGCACACAACAACGGCAATAGCAACACTTGCCACAGCAGCAACAAAAAGAACAAGACAACAATAGCCAGCTGTAAGAGGAAGGGAGATCAACGGCAGTAAGAATGAGAGCAACCCTTAGAAACACGACCAAAGCCTGAAGAAATCAGCAAATGCCTGCGGCAATCAGTCCAATGGTGCAACCCTGCTGGCCAAACTGCTGCTTCCCACCCTTCAAGCTATTGCATAGTGGCAGGCAATGCTGCGTCAAGAAAACATGTTATTGTTCATTGTGCGGCGTTTGATAAAAAACTCAATATAATATTATTAATATAATATATATATATATTATATATATGAGCAACCGTAAAAACCCCGGCAATACTAAATATGTATTCGACGGACATTGGCTTATGGAAATTGATGGAAATTGTTAAAAACACTAGGTAAGCGATGGGACCTTCCCAAATTAGCGATACCCCTTTTCAAGGTTATGTCATCATATTTCTCTAATATCCACATTAGCGATACCCAAATATCACATATTATTCATAGTTCATCATATCTATATATATATATATAAATACAGCAGTTTCCTGCAAGCGATACCCCCCAAGTTTACCATATATCACTATTGTACAAACGTGTGGTAAGCGATGGGACCTTCCCAAATTTGTGAATGTCCTTTCCGTGAACCTAAGGTTTTCACAATCGCTCATATATAATATAATATAATATAATATAATATAATATAGTATAATATAATATAATATAATATGATATTATATGATATAACATGATATAATATGATATGATATAATATAATATAATATAATATTAATATAATATAGTATGATATAATATAATATAGTATAATAAAATGTAATGTAATATAATATACAGTAATATAATATAATATAATATGATATAATATAGTATAATATAATATAATATAATTTAATATAATATAATATAATATAATATATATATATAATATAATATAATATAATATATATATATAATATAATATAATATATAATATAATATAATATAATATAATATATAATATGATATAATATAATATAATATAATATATAATATGATATAATATAATATAATATAATACAATATAATATAATATATATAATATAATACAATATATATATAATATTATAATTATATATACAATTATATATAATATATTATATTAATATATATATATAATTTGTATATATGCCTTGGGATGTTTTCATTTGGGCTGTTGCTGCAGCTTCAGTGGCTCATTTCAGTTTTCCTCGGCGATCGGGGAACCCGCTGCTGCGCCTGCCATCGTGGATGCAAGAGCGCTTGGCTCAGCTGGAGGAGCAGGTTGGGGAACTCACTGAGGAGGTGGAGGTGCTGTCTTCGAGCTTGGCAGGACTTGAACGGAGGGCTGAAAGAGCTGCTCGGGCTGCGCGGACTTCTGAGTCTGGGTCTACGGCCTCTGAAACTCCTGGGCGGCGGGATCCGATAGCTGCTGAGAGCAGCCCTATTCCAAGTGCGAGGGCAAACGGCTATCCCTTGAGGTCCCCTTCGGTGGCTTCATCTACAGCTGGTTCTGGTACCCAGTCGGTGCCTTCGTGGATGCAGAGGGAAGAAATTTGCGACCAGATTGGGTCCTTCTTGCTGAGGGCGCTCTCTGGTGATCATCGGTCTTCATCTGGCCGAGACTTCATTCCGCTAGCATCGCGGATTTGGATCGTGATTCAGGACTTCGAGGGCAACCGATACAATCCGGTGCGCGTGTTCCGGGCTTGGTCTCCGGCAAAGGCGCTGGTGAAGAGGGGTGCGGACGCCGGTGACTCCATCTTCGTCGGGCTTCCATCGGAGCGAGAGGCGAGGCGCGTGGTTCACGCAGCCACGCTTCAGTGGCCGGCTGAGCAATGAGCATCCATCGCCAGTCGGCGATGGATCCCGACAGCTCCAACTTCTTGCTTGAGGAAGGGGTTGTGAATTCAGCCTACCGGGTTGGCCTCTTATCCTTGTCAGGAGAAGAGGAGGAGCAATCAGTGCAAATGATAGCTATAGCCCAATTCAACAGGCGCAATTTGGTTGCAGTGCCGTCCCAAGCATGGCACAAGAAGGTTTTGAAGCGCGTGTTGCCGCAGAATGGGCTGCTGAAGCCCACCGCCATCGAGGTGCTTGTGGTGGACCCCGAAGACATGGACACCATCTTGGAGGGTATGAAGATGCGGCTTTGGGTTGGTTTTTTGGTGGACGAGCTCTTCTCGGCGGTCGACTTTTCCCTGATGGAGTTCGACTCCGACTACTTCTTCGAGGTGAACGGAACGGCCGGTTATCTTCCTTTTGCGCAGTCTCTCATGGAAGTTGCCAACGAGCACTACGCTTTCTTTTCTGCGGGAGAAGAAGGAGCCGGCGCAGATGGCAGTTTGGCCAATGGTGCCTCTGGCTCGGGAGATATGGCTTCGCGTTTGGAGCGCATGGAAATCATGATGGCCGACCTCTACGAGAATCTGCCTCAGCGGCTAGCTCGGCCGCTTGTGAGAAGGGAACCAGAGCCTCGAGTTGCTTTCTCTCCCTCGACATCTTTTCAGCCAAGACATGGAGGGAGCTTATCCCCGCCAGCTCAACGGGTCGGCGTCCTTCGGAAGCCTGCGGCGAGCAGCGGAGCATTAGACCCAATGTTGGTGTTTGCGGCCATGCAAGCTGGAGTGGAAGGGGATGCATTAGACGAAGTGGCACGGTTGATGTCAAGGAACCCCAAGGCTTTGAAGGTGAAGGACATGTCTGCTGGCCTACAACCAGACCCGCTTTCCGATGCCGAGGAGGACGAGCTCGAGGAGGGCGATGCTGCAGCCGGTGGCGGCGGAGATGCGCTGCAGCAGGCGGTGATCAGCCTCACGGAGATCATGAAGTCCTTGACCGACGACAAGAAGAAATCTTCTGTTTCCAAGATCGAGAACGCCTTGGAGTATTCAGGGGCCGTTGGTTCGGGGAAGCGATCAGCGGCTGCTTGCCGTGCTTTGCGGCAGATGCTGCTGGCTCACCCCGAGGAGCTGTATGCCCTTTTGGAGCGGATGATGATGGAGGATCTGATGTCGCAGACTCTGGCTCCGGGCATGCCAACGCATGCCCTATAGCGTCGAGAGCATGGGTGGAGCATCGATCTCGCATCGGAGCCTACCGAGCCGGCGCTCATTGCGCCTGGGAGGGTTGCCGGAATATTGGATTGCTTGGCTCGAGGTCAAGTTCATGGTGCTCGAGCTCGCCTCAACATCCTCCTGCTCCAGATCGACCAGGCGGCTTGCGATCGGGGCAACTGGACCTTGGCTTCGGAGCTCTCCTTGGAACATCCTCCCCCCTTTACCTCCTTGCTCCAGCATTCCCCTCCCGGAGAAGGCGAGCCTCCCTACAGCCGCCTCCTCGACCCACGTTGGGGAGAGATAGCGATGGCCTACTTGCGGGAGCAGGAGGACTTCCTCTCCAAGCGAAAGGGCCTCGGCAAGACTGTCAAGAAGGACGATGGGGAGGACGACAACGACTCTCCGAAAAGGAAGAACAGGCCGAAGGCCAAAGCCAAAGCGTCCTCGGAGGGGGACGCATGAGAGAAGTGTGCCCTGAAGCAATGCATGTGGAAGCTACCCCCTCGGCTACCCTCGGTACGTTGTTGCCGAGTTCTTTACTTGTGGGTGGTTGGGCCGTGGCTTCCAGAAATTCATTACTATGGTGGCTTTGGAGGATGATTTCTTTGCTGCCCGCTTTTCCTTGTTCCACGCTGAAGTTGCCCAAGAAACCGTACAGGATTTCTACGTCCGCATTGAGTTCTCTCTTTTGGCTGCCGCCCTGTGGTGGGGCGCATGACGACTGGAAGTGGGGCGGTTGCTCAGTTCTTGACGCTCTTCACGTTAGACGAGCGTGGCTGTGCTTTGCAGCCATCAGCTGCCCATGCTCCGGAAGTTTGAGGCGGGTCTCTTTGGAGCTTTGTCTCGAGGCCTCGTTTTCTATGCAGCTTGGTGTGATCTTGTATGACCCCTTGGACTTGATTGCGGACAGAAACTTTTTGGAATTGGCATGGTGGTGTGGAACGTGTTTTTTGGCAGCCAAGTTCGAAGAAGCTTGGCTCTTCATGGACGCGCTCTTTTGCCCCCTGGCCGTTTTGCATGGATTGGAGGTGGAGCGCTTTGGAGCAGTGTTGTGGGCGCCGGATGAATCTTTTTGGCGCCTACCCAGACTGCGCGGCGGCTTCTTCTGGTTGGAGCCTTTTTCTTTGTGCTCGCCGCGTGCGAAAACGGAGCAGAGTGGCGGCAGGTTGAATGTCGCTGGTTGCTGCCGTAGTTGCTCACTGCGTTTGGGCGAAGCTTTGAACCCTGGCCCTCGAAGGAGCCGCTTCACCCGTGCAGGGACCTTGGAAGACATGCCTCTTCTTTTGCCGGCAACCATTGCGCTGGAGAAGAGAGTTCTTGATAGCTTTTGCGCATGGTGTCGCAGCAAAGTGAAAAGTATGTCTGTGGAGCAGCTCTTCAACTTAGTGCCTGAGCTACTCCCGGCGCTGCTTCGCAGTTATGGAGATCTGATGTTCCAACGCGGCGAAGCTTTGAGCAACTTCAGACACCTTTTGCTTGCTTGTCAGCGCTGGAGACCCCTTTGTCGCCCATTCATGCAACAGTGCTGGGACATTGTGGCCAGATGGGAAGCTCAGCAGCCGGTGCAACATCGGACGCCACTCCCGGAGGCCGTGGTTAAGGCTCTATGTGTTCTGGGCTGGATGCATGGCTGGTATGGTTGGGTGCTCGCGACTGCGGTGAGCTTTTATGGAGGAGCTAGGCTTGGTGAGGTCCTCAAGTGTGCAAGGTCTGATTTACTTTTGCCTTGTGACCTTGCTGAAGCTGGTACCTCTCCAGTTTTTATGAGGCTTCGCCACTTCAAGACCAAGTTCCGCAATCCTGCAAAAGTGCAGCATCTGCGCATTGTGGATGTTACCACTTGTCGCTTGCTGCATCTGGTGTTCAGAAGTTTGCCAAAGGATCAGCTTTTGTTCGACAGCAACCCCTATCAATATCGGAAGCGTTGGAACCTGTTGCTGACAACCTTGCAGATCCCTTCTTCTGCCCAGCTCACTCCGGGTGGCCTTCGTGGAGGTTTCGCAGTTATGGCCTATCGATCGGGCAGGTCGATTCAAGATATTATGTGGACGATGCGGCTGCGATCACAAGTCACCCTTGAGAGCTACCTTCAGGAGACTGCTTCCTTGAATGCGCTGGTTGAGATGTCGCCTGAAGCTAGAAAGTCTCTCTTCTCTGCCTCCAAAGTGTTCCCCGTCCTCCCGGCTGCAAGCAGCTGATCCAGGCCTTCGGAAATCGTGCGTTCATGCTGACGCATGGGCGCGCCAAACTTCGCCTGGCTGGCCTTGTTCAAATCGGTATCCTAGCACTACTATATGGCTGCATGCAGAACGATGGTTAGCAGCCCTTTGGCGATGTGGAGCTGCACCTGGTGCTTGGCGCTTCTTGTTTGCCGAGCTCTACGACCAGATGCTGCTGGAGCTCTTTGTGGTGGCTGCTACCATTTGCGGCGTTCTGCACCCGCAAACTTGCAAGGGCCGTGTGGACCAAAACAGCTGCGTTCGCTGCTGCATCAGCAACTACACCTTGTGACAACATGCCTTGGGATGTTTTCATTTGGGCTGTTGCTGCAGCTTCAGTGGCCCTCCCACCTCCCCAGGAGGCCTGCTTTAGCACTACTATGGCTGCATGCAGAACGATGGTTAGCAGCCCTTTGGCGATGTGGAGCTGCACCTGGTGCTTGGCGCTTCTTGTTTGCCGAGCTCTACGACCAGATGCTGCTGGAGCTCTTTGTGGTGGCTGCTACCATTTGCGGCGTTCTGCACCCGCAAACTTGCAAGGGCCGTGTGGACCAAAACAGCTGCGTTCGCTGCTGCATCAGCAACTACACCTTGTGACAACATGCCTTGGGATGTTTTCATTTGGGCTGTTGCTGCAGCTTCAGTGGCCCTCCCACCTCCCCAGGAGGCCTGCTTTAGCACTACTATGGCTGCATGCAGAACGATGGTTAGCAGCCCTTTGGCGATGTGGAGCTGCACCTGGTGCTTGGCGCTTCTTGTTTGCCGAGCTCTACGACCAGATGCTGCTGGAGCTCTTTGTGGTGGCTGCTACCATTTGCGGCGTTCTGCACCCGCAAACTTGCAAGGGCCGTGTGGACCAAAACAGCTGCGTTCGCTGCTGCATCAGCAACTACACCTTGTGACAACATCTATATATATATATATGTATACACATACTATACTATATTATATTATATTATACTATATTGTACTATCCTATATGTTATATTATATGTTATATCATATTATGTGTTATATTATATTTTATGGTAGATTATATTATATTATATCATATTATATTATATAATATTGTATTATATTTCATTATGGTTTTATTTTATCATAATAGCATCTTATATTATATTATATTATTATCACATTATATTGTATTAGATTATAATATAATATTTTATTTTGTATTCTATTATATTGTATTATATTCTATTCTATTCTATTATATTATATTATATTTTATTGTATTATATTATATTATATTATACTAAATTAGATTATTATATGTATATATATATATATACATACATACATAGATATTATATTATTGTGGTTAACTCTGTGATGACAGCCGGTCGAGGCTCAGTGGCCAGGGTAAAACTTAGTGCACCGTCGTGTGTAAACAGTGGTAGCGGACCCGACGTGGGCAACTTTTTGGGTCAGGTGACTGCACCTGGCCGAGTCATGGCTGGCCTCGCTTCTGAGTGGCAGAGAATGCCCCCTCGATCGAAGAACTTCCTCTTCCTCTTTTTGGAGAACATAGAGGGCATCCTGCTGAACGAAGAGGTCGCATCAGAGATCCGACTATGGAGGTGAGGCAGTTCACCCGGGGCAGACGTGAACTTAGAACCTCACCTGGGGAAGTAGTGGATGATGCCGACAGTGGAGTGAGCCCAATGACAGAAGAGGAGCCATGGACGTCGAGAGATCCATGGCAAGTGCATGTGAACGAGAACTGGTCTACGAGGTCGTCAAGAGAGTCGCAGTCCTCGTATGGAGACTCGTGGGATCAATGGTGAGGGCACTGGAGCAATTGGGATAGGGAAACTGAGGATGTGGATAGGATGTCTAACTGCACCCCTGTGTATGGCCAGACTTCGAACTACCCATATGGACAAGATTGGAGGGGTAATTGGACTCCAAAGTCTTCTCGGTCAGCGTCTCCGGCGAGGAGCGGTTGGAATCCCAATTGGTTCAAGAGTTCCCGCCATGATCCCTGGGAGAACTATGCGTGGGATGACTGGTATGCTCCGGCGAAGGGACTTCAGCTTGAACAAGTTCAACCTTCGGAAGTATGTCCAGGTAATGATTCAGGCGTATGTCATGGTGATCAGAAGAAGGGAAGAGGAGATGACCAGCCGCTGTCTCCGACCTCGCCGAATGCCCTGGTCCAGGATCAGCAGAACAAACCATCTGGTCAGATTCCCAGTGACGTTCCTTCCATTGCTGGCGCCGCGGGTGCAAGTGCTCGGGGAACAGGTGCGACAGTTCCTATTGAGGCAGCTACCGCGCGGTGCTCGGACAGATGTCTTCCGTATGAAGAATGGTAGCTTTGGCTTTTCAGAAAGCCGAGATCAGCGTTCAAACGCGGTGCGGAATCTATTGTGGTCGTGAAATGGCTCTATGTCCTGGAGTATTTGGCTTCTTCCTGGATGCCCAGGAAAGACTTCAAGCTCTTCTGGCAGTCCATATGGATGACGTCAGGCTGATCGTGGACCCTGGACCCCAAGGCGCAAGATGACATCAAGGGCAGATTGAATTCGCTGTTCGACTTTGGAGAATGGCAGAGACCAGAGCAGTGGACAAAGTTCTGTGGGCGCTATGCAGTTGCCTGACCACTCCGTCCAGTTTCAGTTGGATGACTATGCCGACAGACTCTTGTATCCACCACTACGACTTCCTGGTCAACGGCATCCTCTTCAGCCCCCAAGAGAAGAAGTGGATCGGAACAAATTTGCGGCCAGTTGAAATGGATGGCAGGACAGTGTCATGCATCGAAGGTGCTGATGAAGGGTCTACCGTTGGCACGGCTTTGTCGACCGGATATTAGTTTTTCTGTAGACAGGTTAGCAAGCAGGATCACAGCTTGGAGCCGAGCTGAAGACGTCCACCTTCATCGCGTGCATTGGACGAAGGAATATCAAATGGTATCAGGCTGGCTCACTCAGTGATACGGAACTACATGTATATGCAGACGCAGACCTAGCATCCTGTGTGCACACAGCACGGTCGACTTCTGGCATGATGATCATGTTGACCTAGGGAGCTGACGCTGGCCGATCTTGTCATTTGGCGTTTCCGGGGTTCAACAGTTGGCTGGTGTAGATGACCCTGCCGCCTTGGTGGAGTTGAAGCTGCTTGTGGACCGCGCCCGCATTGGGACCACGGTCAAGTATGAGCATTGGGGCTGCGAGCTGGAGAAGCTGGTGATGGTTTGCGCTTCGGATGCATCCTTTCCTGGTATGCCTCGTG